GTGGGAGTTCAAGGCTCGGTTTGCGGGTTTGGGGTTTGGGGTTTAGGGTTTGGGGCTTTGGGTTTGGGGTTTAGGGTTTCGGGTTTAGGGTTTAGGGTTTAGGGTTTAGGGTTTAGGGCTTGGGGCTTAGGGTTTGGGGGTTTAGGGTTTGGGGCTTAGGGTTTAGCGTTTAGGGTTTGGGCTTTAGGGTCTGGGATTCGAAAGTTTGGGGTTAAAGGTGTGGGGCGCAAAGGGTGCAGAGTTTGTTTGGGGATTGGGGTTTTCAGGGTTTTAGGCTTAAGTGTTAAGGCCTAAACCAAAGGACGCAATCCTAAACCCCCTAAGCCTTAAACCAAAATCGAAAGAGGCATACGACCGCTGCACCCAAAACCCTAAACCCTAAACCCTGAACCCTAAACCCTAAACCCTACAAACCCTAAACCCTAAACCTAATAAGAACCCCAAGCCAGCCCTCAACCCAAGACAACAAAGGAACTCTAATGCGTCCAGGCAAGAAAGCCAAGCCAAGTTTCGCGAGAAGCCTCGTAACCCCACAGAAAGTAAGATCTTTCGAACTCTTAACCCAAGGATGAACCCTAAACCCTAAACCATCTTAACCCAAGGATGATCTTGAACATCGATCACCGAAGCAGGAGGTCCCCACAGGGCTTAGGTACTCGGAAGCCACCTGCATCCAAGGATGATCTTGAATATCATCCTCTTCCTCTCCTTGGTGGTGGCCCGCCTAGACCCTAAACCCTAAACCCCAAACCTCAAACCCTAAACCTAAATCCTAAACCCTAAACCCTAAACCCTAAACCTCGAACCCTAAACCTAAATCCTAAACCCTAAACCCTAAACCTCAGGCCCAAACCCCAAGACCCTAAACCCTAAACCCTGACCCCTAGCTCGCAGAGCCTCAGAGAGTCTTTCGGATTCGGGGTTTCCGGTCTATCTCCGGCGAGAAGCCCTGTGGTCTTTGGGGGCTCCTCATCATGGATTCTTTTCTACATACATGGTCCTTTCAAGGGTTCAGGGTTTAGGGTTTTAGGGTTTAGGGTTTTAGGGTTTAGGGTTTTAGGGTTTTAGGGTTTAGGGTTTTAGGGTTTAGGGTTTAGGGGCTTTAGTCAGGTAAGGTTTTTCTTGGGAGCTAGAGTGACAATGTGACTAATATATAGGGGCCTGAAGAATTACCTATACTATTCTGGGGGCTCCTTACTACAATAATGGTATAACATACCCCCAAACCCTATTCCAATTATTAAGGCCCCTGCATTACATAGACTAGGACATTTTCAGGCGGGTAGTTACCGTTATAGGAGCCTTACAGAAGGTCCATATACCTGGTAGAAGCCGTACAGAAGCTCTATATACCCTAAGCTCCCCACCTGGAGTTTCCTTTAACATAAACCAGATCTCTTCGGCCCAAGTACTAAACCAAGCGAAGCATTTCCTGTTTGATGCCTGTTGGGCTTAAGTCTGTGCAAAGCCGCCCGGAGCATAAAACCTTGAATCCCCAAATCCTACACCCTAAACCCTAACGCCCTAAGCCCCGAAGACCTAGATCCTAATCCGCTTAGCAACACATGAACCTTTATCCAGTTTCTCTCAACCCATATGAAGCCCTGTAAAAGCAATCCTAAACCCTAAACCCTCAAACTCCCAGCCCTAAACCCTAAACCCTAAACCCTAAACCCTAAACCCTAAACCCTAAACCCTAAACCCTAAACCCTAAACCCTCAACATCCCAGCAGCATCATCAGGTAGTGATGTCTCTATGGCTCGCCAAGCTGGGCGTGGAGAGGCGGAACAACCCCAAGGATACAACTTGTGCATGACCTTCTGATTACTACGGCTGATGATATAAATCCGGCATTACCCATAAGAAGGCATATACCATACTTCATTTAGGGTTTAGGGTCTAGGGTTTGGGTTTAGGGTCTGTAGTGCAGGACTTGTATCATCAACAGTATTATTGCTGTCGTGCTGCTGGTGTCTCTGTCTTGACTGTCCGTTGGCTTATCGTCTGATTCCCCCGTAACCCGAAACCCTGAACCCTAAACCCGAATCCCCAAACCCTAAACCAGAAAACCCTGAACCCTAAACCCTAAACCCTAGGGCTCTTTGTGCTTAGCTCCCGAAACCCTGAACCCTAAACCCTAAACCCTAAACCCTAAACCCTAAGCCCTAAACCCTGCTGCTCTTTGTGCTTAGCGCCTGAGAGCTGTGTGTTTTGTTGCAGCTCTTTGGCGGTTTGCGGAGACGCCGGAGCCCTAAGGGTCCATGTACCCAAATAGAGTATACTTTGGCCCTAAAGTACCCAAATAGGGACTACTTTAAGGCCAAAGTATCCCTAAACCCTAAACCCTAAACCCTATTTGGGTACATGGACCCTTAGGGGGAGGATGACTTGGGAACACTCGTGGGAGATTCCGCTGTTTTGGTGCGGACTTCAGGTGTAGGGTTTAGGGGGTTTAGGGTTTAGGGTTGAGGGGCCTAAATAAGTGCCTCTACTACTTTGGGGATTCCTGATTATAAGCTATAGCAGAATGGGCCCCAAAACCCTATTCTAATTTTTTAAGGCCCCAGTATTATTCTAGGGGACTGTTCTATGCAAAGCCTTTTTCTCCAGTTTGCTCAGTCTCTTGATCCTCTCAATCCTTGCTTTGCCCGGCCTTTGGCGCATAAAGCAGACAACACTAAAGCCTAAGCCTTACACCCTAAA